ATAAAAAATAAAAAAAAAAGAAAAAAAAAAGAGAAAATATTAAAGCAAAAGGAAAAAGATAAAATAAGCACTAAAAAAGAGAAAAAATTAGAAAAGTATAAAAACGAATAAAAATTTCAAAAATGAAGAAAAAATGACAATAAAAAAAAATTTAGTTTATTAAATACAAACAAAAAATAAAAAAATATAACAAATAAAAAGATAAAAAGATATAAAAAATCGAAGATAAAAAATTAAAAGGGATGACAAAGTAGAAAAAAATTTAATTTAAAAAATACAAGCAAAAAAAATGTAATAAGAAAAAAATAAAAAAAATTAAAGATGAAAAAATTAACAAAGGGAAAAAGTTAATACAAAATAAAAACAAAACAGGTGTAAAAAAAAAATGTAAACAAGAAATAAAAAGAATTTTGTGAAAAAAATTAGAAGAACAAGAAAAAATAAAAACTGAAAAGGTAAAAATATAAAATAAAACAAAAAGAAAAAAGGTTTTATAGAAAATTTTAAAACAAAGAAGAATGTGAAAACAAAAAAAAATATATCAAAATCACCAGAAAAAATAAGTAAAAAAAAAACAATTTAAAAGGAAAAAAAGTTAATGAACAATTATAAAAATACAACAGAAAATAACCAACATCGATAAATAAAAAAAAAAAGATAAAAAGATAAACAAATAAAAAAATCCAAAACATTATAAAAATTTATGAAAATATAAATAAAGAAAGAAACAAAAAATAAACCAAAATAAAAATAAAATAACAAAAAAATACTAAAGCAAAACAAAAAAGATAAATAAAGTACAAAAAAAGAAAAAAAATCAATACCAATAAGAAAAGAAAAAATAAACAAAAATACAATAAATATAAAAATTAAAGAAAATAAAATACAATAAATACAATAAAGTAAGAAAATAAAAAACGAATCAAAAATAAAAAATAAAAAAAGACAATTTGAATAAAAATTTCAAAAATGAAAGGAAATGACAAAATAGAAAAAATATTTTAAAAATACAAAAAATTGAAAACATATAAGAAATAATAAGAAAATATATGAAATCAAAGACAAAATTAAAGAAAGAAAAATTAATGCAAAATAAAAATGAAAACCAAAGAAAATGCAACAAAAAAAGTATAAGAATTTAAAAACACAAATAAGAAATAAAAAGAAATTTGTGAAAAAATTAAGAAAAGAATAAAAATGAATAGACAATATTTGAAATAAAAAAAAAGAAAAAAAGAATATAAAAAATGAAAGCATATGAAAAAAAAAAAACAAAAAGAAAGAAAATTTTGAAAGAAAAAAGTTATTGAAAAATTATAAAATAGAACAAAAAATAGCAAAACAAAAAAAAGACAAAAAATAAGAAAATGATAAAATAAAAAAGATTCAAAACATAATAAAAATTTTTTAAACTTTATAAAAAAATTTTAAAATATAAATAAAATAAAAAATAAAAAATAAATTAACAGAAAATATTAATATAACAAAAACATAAAACAACATAAAATACTAAAAAAATAAAAATAAACAAAAACAAAAAATATAAAAGTAAGAAAATAAAAAATTAGAGGATAAAAAATATATAAAAAGATAAAATGAATAAAAATTTCAAATAGAAAATAGAAAAAACTTTTAGTTTAGAATATACAAAGAAAAATTAAAAAAATTAACAAAGGTAGAAAATAAGAAATAGAAAATCAAAGACAAAATAAAATAAAAGTCAATACAAAATATAAATAAAAACAAAAAAAAGTGCACAAAAAAAGAAATATGAGATTTTCAAATTGTAAAGAAGAAATAAAAAAAAAAGTGAACAAAAAGATATAAGAAAAAGCAAAAAAAAATAAAAATGAAAGTAAACGAACAAATAAGTTAAAAGAAAAAGAAAAAAAGAATTAATGAAAAATTATAAAAATAAAATAGATAATAGCAAAAAAATAAAAAAAAATGACAACAAAAATGAGACAAAACAAAAGAAGAAAAGATTAAAAAAGAAAGCAAATATCCATAACATTATAAAATTTTTATAAAAAATAACAATAATTAACACTAAAAAATAAAAAAATAAAATAAAATAAGAGTATTAAAGCAAAAGGAAAAAGATAAAATAAGTATTAAAAAGAGAAAAATTAAAAAGTAAGTAAATGAAAAAATGAGTCAAAAAAATTAAAAAAATACAAAAACTAATAAAAATGAAAAAAATGACAATAGAAAAAATTTTAGTTTATAAAATACAAACAAAAAATAAAAAATATAACAAATAATAAGAAATAAAGATATAAAAAATCAAAGATAAAATTTTTTTAAAAAAATGTTAATACAAAATAAAAAATAAAAACAAAAGGAAATGTGAAAAAAAACACAAATTAAAAGGAAATGCCAAAAAAACCCAAAAAAAAAAGGAAGAAAAACCTTAAGAAAAAATAAAAAAAAAAGATAAAAAGTACAAAAATACAAAAAGTACAAAAAAAAAGAAAAAAATTAATAAAATATAATATAAATGACCAATTAAATTGAAGCAACAAAAAAATCAAAGTAAAACATAAAATATGTAGTGAAAGAATAATATAATGAAAACAAGAACAAGTATTTTGTAAAAAAAAAAAGAAAAATATACTAAATAACAAAATAATAATAAATGAAAAATTAAGAAAATGTATAAAATGTAAAAAAACAAAAAGCTAAAAAAAAGAAATAAATAAAGAAATAAAAAAATTCTACAAAGTTCAATCTTTAATTTATGTTTTAAAACTTAATTTGAATTTGAAAGTTTAGATGCAAAATATTTTGATTTGAATTTATTGATTTAAATTTAAAATTTAAAATTTTTAAATCGTTAAAAATGTAAAAATATAAATGCATGAAGTAAATAATGATAGATATAACAATTCCAAACTAGTGTTATTATATATAAGCCAATAAAATTCCAAAAGAAAATAACAAAGAAAATTATTATCTCTCAACAAATTGTATTAAATAAAAGATAAATATTATACAATCCAATATAATAAATAAAATAATAAGTAATAAACAAAATAATTCAAATGGTATTAAATATTATAAAAGATAATTTTGTTAATTAGATAAATTACACAATAAATAAAAACAATTTTCAAGATACAATACAAGATGTTAATTAGATATCTAATTAGTATACATACACATAACACCTTCTATTTCTAATGAAGTTAAAATCTTATCAACAATATTTTAATATCCATAAAATTATAAAATTTTGTAAAAAAACAAAAATAACAAAAATAAAAAATAAAAGGAAAATAAAATTAAAAAATATTAAAACAAAAAGAAAAAGATAAAATAAGTACTAAAAAAAGGGAAAAATTAAAAATAAACAAAAGCACAAAATAGAAAAAATAAGAAAGGAAATGAAAAACTAACGAGTCAAAAGAAAAAATTAAAAAAAATACAAAAAGTAAAAAATATTTCAAAAATGAAGAAAAAATGACAAAATAGGAAAAAAATTTAGTTTATAGAACAAAAAGAAAAAAAAGTTTATAAAAAATTTTAAAACAAAGAAAAAAGTGCAAACAAAAAAATTATGAAAGCACATGAAAAAATATGTAAAGAAAAAGAAAAAAAATTAAAAGGAAAAAAAGTTAATGAAAAATTACAAAAATGCAATAGAAAATAACCAACAATTATAAATTAAAAAAAAGAAAAAAAATCCAAAACATTATAAAAATTTATGAAAATATAAATAAAAAAAGAAATAAAAAATAAACCAAAATAAAAATAAAATAAGAAAAAATATTAAAGCAAAAGAAAAAAGATAAATAGAGTACAAAAAAAGAAAAAAATCAATACCAATAAGAGAAGAAAAAATATAAAATATAATAAAAAATATAAAAAGTAAGAAAATCAAAATAATGAATCAAGAATAAAAAAGACAAAAAGACAAATTGAATAACAATTTGAAAAATGAAAAGGAATGACAAAATGAAAAAAAAAATAGTTTAAAAAATACAAAAAAAATGAAAAAATATAAGAAATAATAAGAAAACAATATAAAAAATCAAAGACAGAAAACTAAAAAAGAGAAAAGTTAATGCAAAATAAAAATGAAAACCAAAGAAGAAAATGCAAAAAAAAAAAAATATGAGAATTTAAAAACACAAATAATAAATAAAAAAATTTGCAAAAAAAATTAGAAAAGCAAGAAAAAGAATAAAAATGAAAAGACAAAAGATTTGAAATAAAAAAATAAAAAATTTTAAAACAACGAAAAAATTAAAACAAATAAAAAATAAAAGCATATGAAAAAAATAAGAAAAAGAAAAAAAAATTTTAAGGAAAAAAGAAATTGAAAAATTATAAAATAGAACAAAAAATAGCAAAAAAAAAGACAATAAGAAAATAAAATAAAAAATTTTTGAAGTTTATACAATTTTTTTAAAATATAAATAAAAAATAAAAGAAAAATAAATTAAGAGAAAATATTAATATAAAAGAAAAAATAAAATAAAATACTAAAAAAATAACAATTAAAAATAAACAAAAACAAAAAATAAAAAAGTAAGAAAATAAAAAATATATAAAAAGACAAAATGAATAAAAATTTCAAATATAAAATAAAAAAATTTTTAGTTTAGAATATAGAAAAAATATAATAAATATAGAAAAAAAGATATAAAAAATAAAATAAAAGTCAATAGAAAATATAAATAAAAACGAAAGGAAGTGCACAAAAAAAAATCTGAGATTTTAAAATTGTAAAGAAGAAATAAAAAAAAGTGTGAACAAAAAGATATAAGAAAAAGCAAGAAAAAAATAAAAAATGAAAAAAAGTTAATGAAAATTTATAAAAATGCAACAGATAATAACCAACAATGATAAAATAAAAAAAGAAAAGAAAAAAAGATAGAAAAATAATAAATAATAAATAAAATAAATAATAAGTAATAAATAAAATAATCCAAATTGTATTAAATAAAAGATAAATATTATACAATATAATTTTGTTAATTAGATAAAATACACGATAAATAAAAATAAATTTCAAGATAAAATACAAGATCTTAATTAGATATCTAATTAGTATACATACACATAACACCTTCCATTTTTAATGAAGTCAAAATCCCATTCAATAAAGTTTAATAATAGGGTGATCTGCATTTAAGTTAAACACAAGCAACATGCCACATATATAGCGAACAATGCTATTTTAGAAATAAAGAATCAAACTTGAACTTCATGATTTAAGACCATAATGAACTAATCCTAAAGCAAAAAGATTCAAGGCAAAGACTGCCTGCAAAATAAACCTAATCACATCCATTGCTCACAAATCAAACATTATAAATGTTTTAACTTGAAACCCCAAAGATACGAAAGTAGAAGGCCTTTAAGAACCTAAAGAGAAATTAAAACCAAAGCAACAAAACCTTAACAAGAAAAGACTATAATAAAGGCCAAAGATAAGAGGTAGTTTGCATCTCAACATAAATATACAACAATTATATACCAACGTTAAAAAACAACAGCCACCAACCACATCATAAGTCAGGGTGCTTCCAATAATAACAGTGTTCCTTAAGAAAAAAAAGTCTATATTATAATCAGAAACATAGAATTTTAGCAACTTTAATCAAACTCTTCATGATCTGAAATGTACTAGAACAAGTACAGTTATCATCGAAAGTTACCATACAATACAACAAAAATTCTATGCAAGATCATAGATTTTCAAAGAATCCAATAAGAAAGAGGCAATCTTCCATCTCAGTGCTTAACTAGATTTAAATTTATGAAATTAATCTTAAGAAAGTAATCCGTCATGCAACAAAATAAAGTGAAATCAGCAAAACAAGAAGAATCAAAACACAACACAAGAAGAAAGAGGTACTCTTCATTGTAAGCACTCATCTTCAGTGCTAGGCTGGATTAAGTTTTTGAAATTAAACCTAAGATTACAATTTGTCATGCAACAGAGTTGAACTAGCAAAATAAAAAAATAAAAATTAAAAAACTCAACCATACAAATTTGGAGTACACTGCTATACAATCTCTAATTCCTCTCTCTAGCAAATCGTGTTCAGAGTACACGATCAACTAATTTCCGTATAGACTACTAAATGCAACCACAATTAAGAAAAGTTTACAAAACTACAATCTGTACACAAAAGATAAAACTAAAATTTAAATGGAATGTTAAAGCATAAGAGATCAAATATTAATTGAAGTTCAGATTAAACTCCAGCAAGTCAAAAGCACTACAACAAAAAATTAGACATTAACCAGAAGCTATGGGAATGAAATCTAGAAGCCAACTTGCAGAATAAAACCAACAAACACACAGACATAGAAATTTTGAAACTTTAATTCCTTCTATCCTGCAAGGTATGCTTGGAGCACATAGCCCATATAGCTTCAAAGACACAAACAGATGACAACTAGGCACACTCATGAACGAAGAAACCACAACCCACGAATTTCTTTTGTAGTAACATTCTCCTAATGCATTCTCAAACAACTTCATCAATAGCAATAAATTGCACCGATATATAGGCATATACGGAGTGAAGAGACATAATTTAACAGTTCTGTAAAAGAATTTTCCTCATTTCCCAATCTGAGAAAGCACCCAAGAGACTGTTGACACATATAGTAGTATAGAATTACAGTTCTGCTCATAGTTGCTTTGCTGCTTTTTAATTATATTTATATATGAGGTGGTGCATAATGCTTCTTTTTACTAAAAGAGCTAAACAAAGGGCTTGACAGGACAGAGAGATATAAAACAATCCCAAGAATGAAAAAAATAAAAATAACCTCATTTTATCTAAAGATACCATGATGTAAATGTAACATGCACAAGTATAAGCAAAAGCTTAAAGAAACAAAATTTAAAACTAAAAAACGATTGAATTTGTGACATAAGGGATACACACTGATTAGTTTCAAGCTTAAAGCACCAATGAAAATAGAACATAAAAAATAATGACTATTTCTACCATTCTTTTAACCCTTCATAAAGTTCTAACATAGGTAAAGGAATTTGGGTGTTACTACAAGAAGAATTGAAAAACCTATTAGCCCAAAAAAAATATATTTAAACACACAAACTATTCAGAATATTAATTATTCTTCATTTCCTACAATAATAATACACCACGGCTTTGAGAAAAAGAAGTCAATTATAACTTCAAGAAGTGCTATATAAAAGGAAAGAGTTGACTAATATTCTTTGCTATGAAAGATTTATTAATGAGCTTAACTAGGTGTTTCAAAAGAGTACCAAATGCATAAGACTCACCTGTAATTGTCAGGGTTCATGGAAAGTAAAGCCTTGTAAATATTGGCACCTTCTTCTAGGCATCCAAGTTTCACCAGGAGAGAAACCTTTTGTTCTTTGTAAGTCAATTTATCAACCTAGAATAATAGAATTGGTTAGAATTTTAATGTCCAAAAATTCAAAACTTACAAAATTTTTAATGTTAAAAGTATTCAGGCATTATACATTTGACACTTACTATTTTTGGCTCTTTCTTATACAATTCCTCAAGTGCTCTCTCAAGAAACCCAGATTCCTCTAGCAAAGAGATCTGGAGAAAAATACCATACCCTCATAAACATCAGAAAAGCAGCAGGGGGCACCACTAGTCTAGATGTACAGCATCAATTATGCATAATGAATGTAGTTATGCATATTTCTATGCCAATATATTATTAAAGAAATAAATGCTACTGCAAGGGCTAAGGCTTGTAGGTACTTGTCCAATTGGTTAAGCTGTTTTCGAATCATGTTAATGGTGTTAAACCAAAAAAGAGTAGTCAAAAAGAAAGATAGACTAATTTATTAAGATGTCAGAAACAAAAATTCCGAAATGGTTCCACAGAACATATAATTGGAGATTAGCAATTATTAAGATTCAGAGCTGCTAAGTACAAACACCACAGATATGATTACTTGTAGAAGGCCCAACAATTAGTGAACAAGCCATATTTCTCTCTAACATGAATACATCAAGAATTAAATATCTTATAGATGCCAAATACCACTATAGGCCACTAGTTAGTCCTCCATCTCAGATTAAAGTAAACTTGGAGATGATTTAATTTAACTTATCAGCCATACACACAGAATCATGAAAAGCCATACTTCACAAGTAGAAAGAATGGGTGTAACATGTACATGAAAGTAGACGAGATTTTGGCAATAAAATAAGCAGAAGGAAAAAAGAAGTTAAGAAGAAATGGGTAGGTTTTCTAATTGCATGTGAAAAAAATTAGAATTAATTCAAAAATGGGACCACATTTATAAAGAAGGTAAAGGCATTAAAAATCTTTAATTTTCTTATATTTAATTACTTTATTTGATTTATGGATAATTTCACTAACTGTGTTGGCATCTGGTTAACAAGTGACACCAAATCAGTCACTCCCATTATACGTTAGTATAAATTCGAAAATTTTGAATGTCTGTATAATGAAGTCAACTCATGTGAAATTACAGCCACATCCCACATACATATGCATGCAAAAAAAAAGAGTTGAAGTACATAACCAATACCTAATATAAAAGCATTTCACCATGCTCACAACGTTCATTATCTGGTGGATAATCATCTTCTAATGTCCCTTCAAATGCTTCCAAAATTTCAATTGCTTTTGCACCACTAATATCAACCAAAAAAAGGAATACAGCATAAATACCTAAAGGATGAATGAAATTAATAAGACTTCATTCACTTAGAACTACTTGGCTAAGACAGGGACAGAAAAGGAAAAACTCTCATAACTGTTGTGCCAACAACTTCAATTCATTCATATATAAAGCCAAATGAAAATATGGCATCATCATTGTCTCCATATAAAACTATAGCAAAAACAACAGAACTCTGCAGTTAACTAGGCATTGTTTGTAAAAGGCTAATTGGCAACCAAATTTCATAAATGCAAGTGCAACCAGCTTAGAATAGTAGGGTACCTATCTATCTACCCACCTATCTGTACATATTAGTAACATCTTTAACACATTCTACACCCACCATATATTGTCATAAAAGAAGTTTGATATCTTATTGGATGTTTAGTTGAAGTCATACAAACAATATTAACCACGTGTTAAAAATCAACAGTAATTTCATCCATGTTAGCACCCATTTGATCATATAATTAGAAACATTAAGTCCTGATTAAGCATTTAATTTAAAGAAAGGCTTTCATTATATCAACAAATATTTCAACTTTCAATACCAAAAGGCCCTTCAATTTGGACCTTCAAGTATACATAACAATAACAACACTCTAAAACATGTTTCACAAAATAAAAGTCAACAGAAATTGGTGAAAGTTAACATAAGAATTGGAACAAATTTTTTTAAGAAAAAAATAAAGGACAAGTACTTTGAGTTTAAATGGTGGGCTACAGCAAAGCCAATCCAGTTCATGCAATGATTTGGTTTCAAATGCAAAAGTTGTTGTCTTGTATCAACAAACCTGTCAAATCTCGCATTTGTGCCTGCAATGCAAAAGATAAAACATAAATGTAATAATTTCTGAAATAACCTGAAACATGACAATGAGAAAATACAAAACCACGATCAAATCCAAAAAATTTCTCTCAAACTTCATATCTTAGTAGAAAGACAAATGCTCATCATCTTCATACTTTTTCCTTTAACTTTTCAAGGCATATAAACCATAAATAAAAGAGGGGGCGGGGGGGGGGGGGGGGGGGCACAAATAAGTTAATGCCAACAAATGACTTAATCATCTGAAATCATGAGTTAAGAATCCATAATATGGCAAGCGCTAAAGCATCAAGGGAGAATAATAGAAATGAAAATCATCAATTTCAGTATCAAAGACGCCAACTTTTGTTACTATTCTGGAGCAGTAAGGCACATGTGCAGATGAAGTTAAGAGAAGAACCGAAACAGATCTGATCCAGAAAGTATAAACACTTTCTAATTGCAAAGGTCATTCATGTTAAAACTTTCAACCATTAAGGAACTAGTAGAATGAGAGGGAAAAAGGATCCGTGGCGGTAGACCAGAAACTATCAATTCAAGGTGGTTGCTTGTTACAGTATAATGAGAACGAAAGGATCAAATCAGACTGGTTGCTTCTGATTATATTACTTATGTTTTATTTTTGCGTATGCCTCAAAACAAAACCTTCAATTAAGATACTAAATCTGAACCATCTCTCATATTAATCTGCTGCCAGAATATCAGATGATGTCTGTTATATCCTTTTCCTTCCCCTAAAGCCATAAATTGTTTCTACCAAAACTATGATCTAAATTTTCAAAGTTATAAAACCAGCTGACTCATCTACTTTCTAAGTGTTTAAGAAGATGTTTTTTTCATGGTCTCATACAGCCTCTCCCTTTTAGTTGGAGTTATCTCCATATTCCATTCCTCTGTTTTAAGCCATATATCTTCGTCTCTTTTGTTACTATCTTAATATAATTATGCCTTTTCTATCCATCTACTAGTAGATTCCGTCAAGCAACTAAACAGCTTCAAATTTCATAAATTTTATTTTCACTTCACTACTAACTATGTAGCTAATCTTGGTGTTTTCATCCAGTTATATTAAGTTACCACAATGAACTTGCCCCTACCAACTACCACGAAACTTACAGTTGCACAAAAGTTGGCACCAAACTATTTTAGTTGCAATATTGACTTGCCTATAAGTACCCTAATACTTAAGATTCTCAAATTCTACAATGGAATCTGAAAAATCTTTTAGGCAAACCACAAAGCTTACAAGAAATCTTATACAGAGAAACTCCTTTAAATGTTCGAAAAATACCATGACAAGTGAGTGTTCTTACTTAACATTAAGCATACAACAGATAAACATCTTAGATTTAACACTGAGTCTAGATGTACAAATCATAGAGAAGGAAGGTAAATAAGGTATACCTGCAAGAGTGACAAGTCCCGTAGTATTTCAATGTTGTCTGGATCTATTCTCAAAGCATTGCGATAGCATTTGATAGCCTCCCTGTATTCTCTATCTGACCGATAGAGACCATAAACGTGCCAGCAAACATGACTTTTTACATCATTCTACATTAAGACACAAACATGAAAACAATGTTGGAAAAAGTGACACTGCTTTGACATTATAGCAACCAAAAGAAAATAAATAAGATAACCTTTACAACTAGCCGAACAAGCTCATAAGCTTCAGTTTTCCGATCCATGCAATTTAAGGTTAACCCCTTCATTGACAATGTTTCTGACAATAATGAATATAAGCCCATATGACAACATACAAACACAACAAACAAACAGTTACCAGATAGCATAAAATATTACTTGGAAACTGCATATTTAAAAGGATGGATATATTAAACAAAACGCTACTACACTCTACCAATACCGCACACTAATGAATATTCACAAAACCCAACCAAGATGAAGAAGGTATTCAAATATTGCAGATTTCAAACTGTAGAGGTTAAAAATGTAGTTGTATACCCGAAATTAATGCAATATATTCAGTTGATAGAGAATATCTCCACATTGATACTGCTAGAATGTTCCACTTATCTCTAGAACCATCATAAATCATGGACTAGTCACTATACAGCTAGTGCTTTCAAAAATGCAAATGACATCAATCATAAGACATGAGAAAGGAACATACAGTCTACAGAAACAATCATGTCAACTTAGAGGCATTCTTGTAAGGATTATTGAAACCAATAACCTTGATAACAACATAAACCATCTAGTGACAGCCCCTTTTTCCTCTAAAGTGTAAAGTTCTTTTTGTTTCAGAGTTCTTGCATCTTTATATAGGTACATTTACAAGAACCATGCAAACATAAACACTAAACAATAAGTGCCTCTCAGCCAAAAACAAATAAATAAATAAGTGCTTAAAATTAAACTACCTCCATGGTCAGGAAACTTTTTCAGTATTGCATCTGCAGCCTTCAGTCCCTTCTTGTACTGTTTAGTTTCATATGATTTCTGCAATGATAAAATATACAAGAGCTTTAGCAATAGCACATGGACCTCCAAAGCAATAAAAATTCAGTTATGAGAATTCGCTAGAGTATAATAACAGATAAAAATTAATTACATAAAAATCAGGCAAAAAAACTGTGTCAAGAGTCCATTACTATAGAAGTTAAAATAGAGTAAGAATTCACCCGTCAAAACTCTAGTTTTCACTATAAATTAGGAGAAATAAGAGGGAAGGGGGGAAAACTCTCAATAGCGTGTGGAAAACATCCAAATGTTGCTATTCTATATCTAATACGAACAAGTTCTTAAAATATATAAATATTCAAGTTTAACCTGCAAAGCCTACAATTACATTAAAAATTGTCCCAGTCAATTTATCAAATTCTTAAATAGATTGTTTAACAAAGTTTGTTATTGTCTTGAATGCTTATGTGCATCAAAGCCAAAATGCCACAATTGTTTCCCATTAGGAACCAACAAAATTCCTATTTTAAAAAGTTGGCAACATGCAAGAGAAATTACTAAAGTAGGAAGAGTCACCAAACCCTTTTATTTTCATTTCTCTAATTTTCTCCGTGATGATACAAATGAATTATCAGCAAAAGGAAAGCACAACGAGCATCCTTACTTTAAAAAAAAAAAAGGTCAAAGCAAAATTCAATTTTTTAAAGTTGCTTTTCAACAAAATCGAATTCATTGACCTAAATTAAGCAAAGCAATAAACTTAATTAAGCTTCAATCGCTAAACAGAACAAAGAAAATTAACTTAATTTATACGAAAAATTGCCCAAAAGCAAAAACCTAATTGACAAACAAGCTTATCTAGTCCAAATTTCCATTTATAATTGACATCCACCGATTTTCTCAGCAAGCAAACAGACCAGTATCCAGCTAGGGTTTTGCAAGCAAAGAACAAAAAGAAAAAAGAAGTGCGATCGAATAAACAAAAAATAAGAAAGCAAAATACAAGTATAAATACCAACTAGAAATACGTAGATACGAACTGAAAAATGAGAGAGAAAAGAGAATCGAAGCCTTACGACAATGAGTTTGAAGAGGTTAGCTTCCTTCGGAGGCAACGAAGCTCCCATTGTTGAAGAAAATTAGAAAATTTTAGAAGAAAAACAAGAATCGTAAGAGAAAAAAAATGAGAAGATTGAGACATGATGAAGTGAGAGTTAGGGGCTTGCAAGAGAGAGAATAGAGTGGTGGCGTTATCTGCTGCTTCAACCCTAGGGTCAACAAGAAGCTTGAACAAAAGTAAAATTAAAAAGGGCCGTTGGTTCATTTGTTTGACGGAAAATTTACTAAAAAGGGGATCTCACAAATTTTTATTAATTGATATCATAATTTAACATATAAAATTAATAAAAATATAATTTATTTTTATCATTTTAATGTTTAATAGGTGTTAATTTAAATTTTAAATGATTATTATATGTTACATATACATTTAATCAAAATATATGTACATTTAAATATTGAGATGTAATTTTAACTTTTTATAAATTTTACTTATAAATATTATTATTAATTATTTTATTACAAAATCAAATAATAAATATTTTTATGAAATACTTAATTTTATAATTCTCTCCTTGTCTTTTTTCGTAGGCTCAATCATTTTCTAATCATCTATGCTAGTATCAGATATCAATTAAAAATGTCACTTTGACTTGTCTTTGAATCCAACATACTAAGACAACCTCAATCACTAATAAAATATATTTGATGTTTTGATATCATGCAAGCAAGCTGTTTTCAGAGTACAAACTAATAAGGAACAATTGGAGAAAACTTTCACTTCAACTAATAGTTAAACAAAAATAAAGTGAATACCAAAATTTACCATTTTAAATAATCATATTATCTTTGCATTACATGTTAAATCAAAGATCACAAAAATATTTTAATTCTTATGATTATTCCAAAGGAAGAAATAGAACATGTTTTTTTTCGGTTTGAAACTAGCAGGGAAGCCTACTTTATAAATTGTGTTACGAATTTTATGAATGACAACAGATAGGATATATGTTAATTTTAAGTATCCAAATTTTTTTATTTATTAAAATATTTGAATTCAATAAATACTCAAATAATTTTTAATTTTATTATCTAAATCTAACTCACATAATATATATAAAAAAAAAACCCATTATTGTTCAAACTCATTAAATATTCATTTTTTAAGTTAAAATTTAAAATTTAAATTCAAATTTAAAATTGATTTTAAAAAATATTATTAAAAGAAATTAAATTAATAAATGAAAGTTTTATTGGCTTATATATAATAACACTAGTTTGGAATTGTTATATCTATCACTATTTACTTCATGTATCTATATTTTTTCATTTTTAACGATTTAAAAATTAAAAATTCTAAATTTAAATCAATAAATTCAAATCAAAATATTTTGCATCTAAACTTTCAAATTCAAATTAAGTTTTAAAACTTAAATTAAAGATTGAACTTTGTAGAATTTTTTTATTTCTTTATTTACTTCCTTTTTCTTTTCCTTTTTGTTTTTTGTTTTTACTTTTTATGCATTTTCTTAATTTTTCATTCATTATTTTCATTTTTTTTACAGAATACTTTCTTTCTTGTTTTCATTCTATTACTCTTTCATTACATATTTTCCTTTTTACTTTGATTTTCTTTTTTGTTACTTCAATCTAATTGGTCATTTACATTATTTTCTATTAATTTTTTTTCTTTTGTACTCTCTTTACTTTCTATCTTTATTTTCTTCATTTTTTTATTTTTTCTTAAGGTTTTTCCTTCTTTTTTTTTTTATCATTTCTTTCTAATTTGTGTTTTTATTTTGTATTAACTTTTTTCTTCTTTTAACTTTTTATCTTTGATTTTTTATATCTTTATTTCTTATCATTTGTTATATTTTTTATTTTTTGTTTGTATTTTATAAACTAAATTTTTTTCTATTTTTATTATTTTTTTTTAAATTTCTTCTTTTGACTCGTTATTTCTTCATTTCCTTACTATTTTCTCTTTTCTCTTTTTTAGTACTTATTTTATCTTTTTCCTTTTGCTTTGATATTTTCTCTTATTTTATTTTTCCTTTTTGTTATTTTTATAAAAATTTTATAATGTTTTGGATATTTACTTTATTTTTTAATCTATTATTCTTTTGGTTTTTCTCATTTTTGTTGTCATTTTTTATTTTTTTGCTATTTTCTATTCTATTTTTATAATTTTTCATTAATCCTTTCTTTCTTTTTCTTTTAACTTTTTTGTTCATTTACTTTTCATTTTTTTCTTTGTATTAAAATTCTCTATTCTTTTTTTATTTTATATATTTTGTATTTTCATTTTTTATTTTTTTCTTGCTTTTTCTTGTATCTTTTTGTTCACACTTGTTTTTCCTTCTTCTTTACAATTTTAAAACCTCAAACTTTTTTTTGTGCACTTCCTTTTGTTTTTATTTTATTTTTTTTATCTATGATTTTTTATATCTTTCTCCTATATTTGTTATATTTTTTTTTGTTTTTCTTTGAATATTCTGAACTAAAAGTTTTTTCTATTTTATATTTGAAATTTTTATTATTTTGTCTTTTTATATTTTTTTGATTCGCTAATTTTTTATTTTTTCTTTTATATTACTATTTTCTCTTCATTTATTTTTTATTTATATTTTAAAATATTTTTATAAAGTTCAAAAAAAAATTATTTTTTGAATCTTTTTTATTTTTTCACTTTCTTATTTTTTGTCTTTTTTTCGCTATTTTTTGTTCTATTTTATAATTTTTCAATAACTTTTTTCCTTCAAAATTTTTCTTCTTTTTGCTTTTTTTTCATATGCTTTCATTTTTACTTGTTTTAATTTTTTCGTTGTTTTAAAATTTTTATATTTCTTTTTTCTTTTTTTATTCTAAGCCTTTTGTCTTTTCATTTTTATTTTTTTCTTGCTTTTCTTATTTGTGTTTTTAAATTCTCATACTTTTTTTTTGCATTTTCTCCTTTGGTTTTCTTTTTTATTTCGCATTAACTTTTCTCTTCTTTTTTTTTGACTTTTATATTGTTTTCTTATTATGTCTTATACGTTTCTCAATTTTTTGTATTTTTTCAACTTTTTTTTATTTTGTCATTCCATTTCATTTTTGAAATTTTTATTTAATTTTGTTTTTTTTATTTTTATTTTCTTACTTTTTATATTTTTATTGTATTTTTGTTTTTTTTTATTTTTTGTGCTTTATTTATCTTTTTCTTCTGCTTTATTTTTTTCTTTTTTATTTTGGTTTATTTTTTATTTCTTTCTTTATTTATATTTTCATAAATTTTTATAATGATTTGGAATTTTTTTATTTTTCTATCTTTTTTTTTATTTTATCATTGTTTGATATTTTCTATTCCATTTTTATAATTTTTCTTCTTCTTTTTTACTTACTTTTTGTATTTTTCTAATTTTTTTCTTTTGACTTGTCATTTTTTCATTTCCTTACTTTTTTATTTTTTCTATTTCGTGCTTTTGTTTATTTTTAATTTTTTTTCTCTTTTTTAGTACTTATTTTTTCTTTTTCCTTTTACTTTAATATTTTCTCTTCTTTTATTTTTCCTTTTAATTTTTGTTTTTTGTTTTATTTTTATAAAAATTTTATAATGTTATAGATATTAAAACATTGTTGAATGAGACTTTGACTTCATTAGAAATGGAAGGTGCTATGTGCATGTATACTAATTAGATATCTAATTAAGATAATATTTTATCTTTTATTTAATGCAATTTGGATTATTTTATTTATTATTTTGGATTGTATAATATTTATCTTTTATTTAATACAATTTGTTAAGAGATAATAATTATCTTTGTTATTTTCTTTTAGAATTTTATTGGCTTATATATGGTAACACTAGTTTGGAATTGTTATATCTATCACTATTTACTTCGTGTATCTATATTTTTACCTTTTTAATGATTTAAAAATTAAAAATTCTAAATTTAAATCAATAAATTCAAAGCAAAATCTTTTGCATCTAAACTTTCAAATTCAAATTAAGTTTTAAAACATAAATTAAACCTTGAACTTTGTAGAATTTTTTTATTTCTTTATTTACTTCTTTTTTCTTTTCCTTTTTTTAACTCTTTTTTTTTTCAGTCCTTTTTTTTTCTTTTTACATAATATTTTCTTTCTTGTTTTTTTCTATTACTCTTTCATTACATATTTTCCTTTTTACATTGATTTTCTTTTATGTTACTTCAATCTAATTGGTCATTTACTTTATTTTCTATTAATTTTTTTCTTTTTGTACTCTTTTATTTTCTATCTTTATTTTTTATTTTTTTCTTAAGGTTTTTCTTCTATATTTTTTGGGTTTTTTTTTTTTTGCATTTCTTTCTAATTTGTGTTTTTTTCCCACACTTCCTTCTTTTGTTTTTATTTTGTATTAACTTTTCTCTTCTTTTAATTTTTTATCTTTGATTTTTTATATCTGTATTTCTTATATTTTTTGTTTTTTGTTTGTATTTTATAGACTAAATTTTTTTCTATTTTGTCATTTTTTCCATTTTTGAAAATTTTATTATTTTTTGTATTTTTAAAAATTTTCTTTTGACTTATTATTTCTTCATTTCCTTACAATTTGATTTTTTCTATTTTGTGTTTTTGTTTATTTTTAGTTTTTCACTTTCTTAGTACTTATTTTATCTTTTTCTTTTCGCTTTAATATTTTTTCTTATTTTATTTTTCCTTTTATTTTTTATTTTTTTAAAACTCTTATAATGTTATGGATATTTACTTTATTTTTTAATCTATTATTCTTTTGGTTTTTCTCTTTTTTGTTCTCATTTTTTTTGCTATTTTCTATTCTATTTTTATAATTTTTCATTAATCCTTTTTTTTTCTTTTAACTTATTTGTTCATTTACTTTCATTTTTTTTGTTTTAATTTTTTTCTTTCTATTAAAATTCTCTATTCTTTTTTTCTTTTCATTTTATTTTATATATTTTTATTTTCGATTTTTTTTCTTGCTTTTGCTTATATCTTTTTGTTCACACTTTTTTTTATTTCTTCTTTACAGTTTTAAAACCTTAGACTTCTTTTTTTGTGCACTTTCTTTTGTTTTTATTTATATTTTTTATTAACTTTTATTTTATTTTTTGTCTTTGATTTTTTATATCTTTTTCCTATATTTGTTATATTTTTTTGGTTTTTCTTTCTATATTCTAAATTAAATGTTTTTTTGTATTTTATACTTGAAATTTTTATTCATTTTTTCTTTTTATATTTTTTTGACTCATTAACTTTTTTTCTTTTTGTTTATTTT